CAGGAATGAGAAGTTTAGCACCTACTGACCAGAGCACAAGTGTTCCCTGGAGAGAAAATGGTTGCTGCAGGGAGCACAGCTTCTGTGGTTCATTTTTAAAAGCCAATTCACAAACCATTTGCGATAGTCAGTCAGTCCCACTGAGAGGGGGAAGGAAACCACAAAAATTCCTCTAGAAGAACTTTCCGTGTAGGGTTTTGGCTCATACTCTGGACCTGGAGTAAAATAAAGTGAATTTAGAAGACTTAAGCTCCAAATAAGGTGTGTATACAGAGCTTCAATCAATCTAAATCTTAAAGATTTGCCTGGCTACACCTCCTACAACACCAGGATAACAGGGTTTGCCAGAGGTCACCTATTCTTACAATTAAAAATGTATTGCTGCCATTTGTCCTTCAAAACTTATCTCTTCCCTTGACCAGTCTATAAGTTTTTGTTCACTAATTAAAATATTGCCACTCATCTTGCATTCCTTCCTGGCTCTCCTGCTTGAGATCACAGTTTCAGTAATTAACTGAATGGCTTAGCCAGCAGCTAATTCTGCTATCAAGTCACAGGTTGCAGTGGAATTAAATTTTTACAAAGAGTATTACAACACAATTTAAAACAGAAGGCAACACTGAAATAGGATCTAGTTATGGCATTGCTTTCTGTGAATAAGATGGTGTTACTCAAGTTCGGCAATTTCTTTAGAGGTTCCTGGGTCAATATTAAAGCCTTCACTTACAAAACCAAACGTGAAACTCCCCAAAACATTAGCAGCATTCTTCAAGCAAGTGAAGTGGCACATGACAGAGACCACGTATCTGGGAGTTGTTTTGATATATTGGTCCCAGTATAGCATAGACACAATACTGTTTCAAATGGGAAGGGAAAAGAACAGCACTAAAAACCTCTGGTTTTTCCTTAAGCCCCAGCAAATCCTGTTGAGGGCATGCAAAACAAAGAACATAGGGAAAAAAGTTAACCTTAACTGGAACCCAAAATATTTAATTAAGGTTGAAGTATGAACAAGTATCTTAAAGTACGTGAGGGTGAAGAGTGTCTCTGGCCTTTAACTCAGAGCAGCCAAGTATGCAGTTCACACAGGTTACCAGTGTGCATCAGCAGTCGGCTCCAGGTTGCAATCGGAGTCCTCCAGAGGTATGTATGCCATCTTCAGCTCCTCTTCTTGCTGTTAATTATTAAATGTTGCAACTGTCAGGGCTAGTGCACACTGTTAGTGCCCAAGGCTGAAGTAGTTAGTATAAGTCTCAAATGTACTAAATTAGTTACACGGAAACAAAATATGATCACAGGCATCCTTTTACAGCAAGTAAATTTTACATGGGCATTATTTACAGCCCTACTGTTGGAAACACTACTGGTGAATTTGTCTATAAAGAGCCGTAGCACCCCCTCTTTCCTTCCCTCCCTGCCATGCTTCACAGCATTTTAGGGCAGAGATTTTGAGTCAGGACTGGTGGTTATTTCAGCAA